TATGTTGTGTTTTTGTGGTTTAATTTGTTTTCTTTTAGATATTCAGATTTAGATCCAGAGTTATTGAATTTTAAAAATAATTGTGTTCACAAATCAAAAAAATTTGCATGTACAGAACTTTTGTAGGCCGACATAAAAATTATTAGACAAAATTTCTATGATAATGAAGAAAAGAACAAAAATGCTCAGGATAACAAATTAGCACAGATGATGAATATTAAGGAAATAAAAAGGCAAAAGAAGAGAAAGAATGGTAAATCAGATGATTTTCACACAGAATTTTATGTAAGTTTTTATTTAAATAAACCAAGCTTTAGCATCAGTAAGTACATATTTATTTTTCGATTAAACTTTGTAAGGTCTCTGATTGAGTATTTTTTAGGTTTCGCATAATAGCAAGAAAATCTTTGTTTGCCAAAAATTATTTTCCTCTATTTTTAATCGTGGTCCAAGAAGAATTCATACGATAGTGAGAAAGAAGATGCTTGGCACTAGTATAAAAGACAATCGTGGTGGAGACACTAAGTCCAAGAAAAATGCGCTTAAATTAGAAAGTGTCATGAAATTTATTTTGTCTTTGAAGGGCCATGAAAGCCACTATGGTACAGGCAAGTCAAGAAGAATCTATTTGTCATCTGAGTTAAACATAAAAAAGCTGTGGGAGATGTATAATGATCAGATTCCAGATAATTCACTCCAAACAAACTACAAGTACTTTAGTCGAATTTTCAGCAATAAGTTTAATATAGGTAGATATTATTAAACAAATGTTTTTTATTTTTTACTAAGTTGCCCGTTTGTTTTAGCCTTTGGAAGTCCAGCTACTGATGTTTGTGGCTTTTGCATAAGAACAAACACTGAGATAAATACCACCAAGGATGAAGAGCAAAGATTAAAATTAAAAATGGATTTAACTATTCATAAGACGCGAGCAAAGCAGTTTTTTAAATCAATGAAAGAGGAATCTGCTGATAGCGTGACATATTGCTTTGATCTTCAACAGGTCCAAAATCTTCCAAAGGCGCCTATTACGGAAGCATTCTATTCTCAGCAACTGGCTTTTTATGCATTTTGTGTGACAGATATTTTAACAAAAACTCCTGTTTTTTTATACATGGCTTGAGCATGAAGCAGGAAGAGGTGTGGTAGAAATAAGTTCTGCGTTGACTGACTTTCTAAAAAAGACTGATTTTGACCCAGATATTAAACATTTAAGATTGTTTTCGGACGATGTGGGGGTCAAAATAAAAATTCCCACATGGTACATGCACTCACCTTGTGACTTTTGAATAATGCCCCAAAAAACTATTCAAACACTTACGATGACATTTCCCGTTCGTGGCCATTCGTTTATGCCAGCTGATCGAGTTTTTGGTCAAGTTGAGCTGGACTTACGTGCCCATGCTTTTATAAAGCCACCAGAAAAATATTATGAAATCTATTCTAAGAAAGGACAAGTGCACAAGCTGAGATCTGATTGGACTTTGTATGACATAAAACATGCAGCACTTTCACTCCAAAAAGTTATAGGTATCAGTGAAGCCAAAAGAATAATCATAACTCGAGGCAAACAAACTGCTGGGGAAAGTAAAATCTTGTATAAAACAGAGGTTTTATACAGAAATGATGACAATTCTAAAATGTTTTCAAGTTTAATTCAACAAAAGAAAAAACTAAGTGACATAGTACTGCCGGAATTGCCAACAAAGCATGCTGTTAAGGAGAAAAAACTGGATAGCTTATCAAAATTTTTAGTTAGTCTATCAGGCAAAGAATGGGCATTAGATCCAGAATTAACTTGGTTAGATCCAATTTTGAAGGATCAGTATGGTGAAAATGTAATTGAAAAGGACCAGACCTGCGATCAATGTGAAGATGGAGAAGAATGCTGCTGTCTTCTGAAGGACGACATACATGTCATATGATTTTTTTTACTACAGATATTGCTTTACAAACAGGAATTTTCAGTTCATATTTTGATTTTAATCACTTAGGGAAAATAAAACCACATTTTGTCCTTCAAAGACAATCAAATGGCGTTTTGTCCATCATTAAAATTTTTTTTTGAAAAAACTAATAAAGCTTGTTGTTTCTTATACGTAGGGTAAGTTGATAATAAAAAATTACATTTTTTCATATTTTGTGTTTTATTTTTAACTTTATTAATAATCGAGTAGCAGTTTTTCTCGTTTCCTGAAAAATTTTAAAAATGGACAAAGTGCGATATGACAGTCTGCTCCTCATCTCTATTCTATGTGTGTTGTTTTGCTTTGGAGAATGAGTAATCAGACTCCTCTGGATCGCTTGCCCGCTACGTTGCCTTCAACTATCATTTATTCCATGCCCTCTCTTCTTCTAGTTATTTGTTCAAAATATCACAGTATATTTTGGATAATAGTTGTGGTGAGTCTAGTCTGTATTTAAAGTTCTTCTAGCATTGAAATATGTGTGCGATGTGGTCGATGGTATGTGTAATATTCTACGGTAGACCCACATATCAAATGAAATCATACCTTTTTTATGATCCATGTTTCTGAATCCTAGATGCCAATAGGTAATGTTAATATGCCCGAACATGGCGTAATTTTGTTTTTTTTTATATTTCAGTGTTCTTCCATATTTTTGTGAGTTTTACTGCTGCCGATCTGACCATTCTGACGCGTCGACGCGACGGGTGGATCTTGTCTATGCACCCTCTACTAATGACGGGGTTTAAGTAATCTAATTATGACCACTTTCTACTCTGTCATGCTTGATCGTTTCTGTTTCTATCGATGATATTTACTTTGCTTTTGTGTATGTTTATTTTTAAACCATATTCTGTACTCCTCGTGCCCAGCTTATTCATAATTTGTACCAGTTCTTCTGGTAAAGACGCCAATATAATGTCCTTGAGTAAGGCAGTCAGCCGTAACAGTTGTAGTGATAAGAATTTAAAATAAATTTTGTGGAAGTTTGAAAACAAAGTTTTCAGTGTTTCATTGTTACATAATAATGTCCGAATAAACAAATCGTATTTTGAAAACCATTTCCGAAGTGGAAATTGAAACGTCAATAAACTTATTTTAACCTTTAATAGTGGCTTATTTCCATTTAAATAGTAATTACTTTAAAATGCCACAAGAAAATAGCTTCAGAACAATATTAGAAATAAAAGTGATCTTGTCCCAGTTATTTTACTGAATGTTAAGCTTTTTTATAGCCGCCTCAATTTCTGATTTCAGTATTTATGGTTCTTTTTCCATAACTTCTTTTCTCTATATTAGTGTCTAACTCGTTGTTAGCGAATACGAGTATTACCTATTTCGCAATAATGTTTCGACACCGCTGCGATACCTTTTGGGTTTATTATGGTGTTTTCACTATTACCTTTGATGATCTGTGTTGGTGGTTTTAATTCTCTCGGTAGATATTTAACTTTTGAGAAAAGTTCTCTAGATTCTTGGCGGTCAGCATGCTCTTCTAGTTTTACCCGTATAAAAGTGTTTTACAGTTGAATTTATGGTAGCTATCTCGATTTTTTTTGGATTTGATGTACCAAGGTTGAGAGTCTCTTAAATGTTTCTTCCCAACTATTTTTTATTTTGGGGTTTGTTTTGTTGATGGTTACGGTAATCCACATTGTGTATAATAACACATGTACAAATGAAATTATGCTTTTTCTTTAGAAATATACCACATTTTTTTTAATATTTAATTTAAGAAACTACAGAAGGCTATCACAAGAACGAAGCTGTTACATAAAAGATATGTAAATTATTTCATTTTATGTTAATATCATCATCTTTGGCTCGACAACCCTCTGTGGATCCTGGCCTGCTCTAAGATTAGTCGCCATTCTGTTTGGTTTCTGGCAACGTGTTGCCATCTTCTGATCTCTAGTTTTCCTGAGTCGGTCTCAACTCCATCTAACCACCTAAGGACCCGTTCTCAATATGACGGATCGTCTGTTTATACGGAAGACAGCAGCCGGGCGTAAGTGTTCTCACTTACGACGGGCCGTCTGTTTAGACGGAAGACGTCAGCATGCACCGGTCGGCTCCGATCAGTAGTTCAATCTTCGTACACGGTATACGATGGACGACGACGATATTCCACTGCTGTGGTGGTATTTAAGACAAAGAAGAAGAAGATGACGTAAAAGAAAACATTGGGTGCATCCTATTCTACGAGAAAGATTTTTAGCGGGAACATTTTGAAACATTAATGGGTGAATTAGGAAATGATGAAACAAAGTTTTTTAACTACTTCCGAATGTCTATTTCTGCTTTTAATGATCTCTTTGGACGAATTGCAATAGAAATATTAGTACAAAACACACGATTCAGAGGTGCATTTGTCCACAACAAGACTGTCCATATAATTAAGGTAAAACTAATTCTTTACATTGCTTTGTTTATTGTTTTAAATTAACAAAATAAATTTTACTAAGCAGTGGTTAAATGAAACACAAATTAAATTTTGAAATTACTTTTTATTGAAAAAAGTTATGAGCCTTTCCCCGTCGAAAGTAGTACTAATGACTAAAGTCCTTCAAAATCTATATCCAAGTCCTGTGAGTTTGGTGATTGTACAGTGGGTGTTGTTGGTGAAGGTGGAATCCGTTGAGAATGATAAGATGATTGAGTAGTTGATGATGGAGATTGTATGAAATTTGTCGACTGTGGTGCATTGATGTTTGATAGGTGGGCGACGGTGATGGTATGAAAGCTGTCGGCTGCTTGTTAACTGGATTTTGTGTATAGTATCCACGATATTGATCTTGCCAGCCAGTGTTTTGAAAATCATATGTTTGGTAAGCTACTCTATTTCGGCCTTTAATTTTCTGTATCAGAGCTAAGACTCCTGCTTGAAACTCTAAAGTTTCATCTATCGTGAACGAATTCACGACAGGTAGCATTCCTTTGAAAAATAATAAATTAGGATGAATTAGGAATTAGGATATTGTCATTGGCTTATCCGTCTCTTCAGACGGGCTGAGAAAACAGACGGTCCGTCATAGTGAGAACGGGCTCTAATTCGCGGTCGGCCTCTGCTTTTTCTTCCTATAGACGTTCTTCCTGTCGTTAGCTTTTAAGCAATCATGTTGTCAGGCATTCTTATTATGTGTCCGGCCCATCTAAGTCGCTGTGTTTTACTGAACGTTACGACATCTGGTTCATTAAAGAGTTGCTATAATTCAAAATTAAATCTTTTGCGCCTCTGCCCTTGATCGTTTATAGCTCCAAATATTTTGCGGGGTATCTTACGCTCGAATATTCGCAGATGTCTTTCATACTTCTGCGTTTTAGAGTCCATGTTTCCGCCCGAATGTGAGGACCGGCCTCAGTAGTGTTTTGTATATAATAATTTTCGTTTTTATTTGGAATATTTCTTGAGTGGAATTGTTTTTGGAGTCCATAGTATGCCTTATTTATTTGTAAGGTTTTTTCTTTTAATTTATTCGCTTGTGTTATTGGTAATAGCAACTAGCGAGCCAAAGTATGTGAAGCTTTCAACACGTTCAAAGATATGACTTTCAAATGGTCTTTCCCGTTCCTTATTTGCTACAGGATCCTTAGTAACCAACATGTACTTCGTTGATGACTAGAACGACCAGGGCATCCCCTTGTCTGAGTCCACCTTTATCTCAAAGGATCGAGAATTTTCTTCCTGTATTCTGACGCTGGCTTTTAAGTTAGACATGGTCATTCTTGTTAATTGGATAAGTTTTTCTGGTATACCAAACTCACGCATTGATTAGTATAGTACTGTTCTGTTGACACTATCGTATGCGGCCTTGAAGTCGACGAATAGGTGATGGTTTCAATGTTAAATTCTAATGTTATCTCGAGGATCTTATTGAATGAATCTGGTCAATTGTTGATTTTTCTGCGGTAAATCCGGCCTGGTATTTTTCAACTATGCCAACTATGTAAACTTGTAGTCTTTCGTAGAGAATATTTGCTAGTATTGTGTAAGCACAATACACAAGTTTTATTTAAAAATGGTACAGTATTATCAAACAACTCGGTTTTACATCCTTTTGTTTTTCTTGGGATTACATTTTTTGCGGCCATTTCAGTAACTCTTTCTACATTTCTCCTCCTTTCATCCATATTCTCTTGGGTTGTAGCTTGTGTTTTGCTGTTTTTCCTTTAGATGTTCTATATATAAAGTTGCTTCTAAGGTTACATTGCTGTTATTTTTTCTTTCAAATATTTGGCTAAGTTTTGCGATTACCAGAACATCATCGCTTCCTGCATCTGCTCTTCTGTAAGATCTTGTATGTGTTACTATCTTCTCATAATCTCTTTGAATAATCACGTGGCCTATTGGTTGTATATTTACCATTTGGAGATTCTCAGAAACCCTTATGAATGTCTTTATGGGCAAATTTCGTGCTTATAACAGATAGTCCTTCTGTTTTTGCTGAGTTTACTAGTCTTTGTCCGTTATCATTGGTAGTTTCATATTTGTTGCCTGTTACTGGCTTATACATTTCTTCTTCTTTCGTTCCAATCGTTGCATTGAAATATCTATCTTTATAACCCGATTGTTGGTAAAGAGTACAAATATTTTATACGAAGAAGGTTGCGTTTCGATTTAATTTGAGTCTCTTACCACTCCCTGACACGTGTTTCTGGGTCTACCTGTCATCAGAAGGAGTTTGTAAGAAGACTTAAATCAAATCAAAACGCACCGATTACTCTGGCAATTACAGAAAAATAACTACCAGAGTATGCAACTAGAGACCTCTAGTGAGGAAACATGAAGATACGTCGATAGCAATTAAAGTAAACTGTATACCCAAGCTTAATCAAGCCATTCAGAGCGGAGCTGAGAATAATTATATTCCACTATGCGCCAACAATTTACCCATATAAATTACCATCATATTATAAATATTTTATGTTTTCATAAAAAGCCTCTTTTTCTTCGTCATCCTTAATCTCGCTTAGCGCATGTACATTAAGGTTATTTATAAAATGTTCTTTCGATTTTTATTCTGCGATGCATATTCTCTCTGAAATTGGATTAAAACTGTTTTACGTTTTTATTTATTTTATACACCATAAAACCTATTCCTAATATTTTGTCACCATTCTGTTCCCACTATTGAAAAAAAATTATTCGTTTATATCTATTGTGAATTTCTGTTTTGTTTAGTTTTTTGGAATTTATATCTTATATCTATTTCTTATAAATGCCTTTTACATTCAAATTTCTTTTAATTATTAATATCTTTTTCCTTTGCCTTGGCAGGTCGATTTTCGGTAAAGCAATGTCTGGTTTAGGTTTTTTGTTTATATGATTATTAGCGCATGTTTATTGACGTTCCACTTACAAATTATTCCGTCTATTGTTATCTTAATGTAACCTACCTTGAATTCTTTCCCTTTTTGTTTCTCCTTCCCGGTCATTTTTCGTAAGTTTTTTTTTGTATTTTTTGTTCTTGTTTGGTCATCATTATTAATGTATATTCTCTGCCCCTTACCATTCTTTAATTTATATTTATTTTTCATATCCAGTCTTTTGTCATTATTTTTTTAATCAATTAGGCACGTGCTTCTTCCGACTTCAACTGTTTTTTTGGCTTCCACTTACACTTCCAAATCTTTCTGGAGCAGATTACCTACGCAATTGCAGTCACTACTTTTTGAAGGAACTCGTTAGTATTGCAAGATAGACTTTGAATAACCATATTATTTTCTTTATAATGTTTATCCACCATTTCCAATCTGCATTCCATACTTACTACCTTCCTTTGCATTTTCTCGTTTTCCTTTTTAATTTGTTCATTTTCTTTTTCAATATTTTATTTTCTTGTCATGGTTCTTCTATTTCTGGTCTGCAATCCTGAAAGTTCTGTCGCAACTCAGACATAGTAGGTCTGCTATCAGGCATTGTAAACTGAATAAGCAGTTGAATCTGATGGGATTGGAAGCTGATGACTTAAGAAGATTCTATGACCTAGAAGAACAAAGAGTAGAGCACGTTTTATGTCAGTGGGAAAGCTTGGCAAATGTGTGGTTCTTTGCATTAGGTGAAGAAAATCCACTAGCAAATAGCTAAATAGAAGGTTCAGTCTCGAAGTTATTTGACCTTTTAAAAAAGGTCAGGCTAAAGAATGTAATATGGAGTAAGAGGAACACAATAGACCTGCAAAGGTAGCAGTGGAATAAGCCACCTCATTGAATCTATCTATCTGCAAAATACAGAACATTGTACGTTGAAGCAAACGTAAATAAAACGAGTATGTTAAATGAATGGATAGTGAGAGATCAGCATAAATAACAAAATATTTAAGATCAACAGGAACCAGGAAACCCTTAAGATCTTCGAGATAGCTGGCAGTCAAAGTTACAAATGTGACCACAGCCTAAGGTCGGACAAAAACAGGCCTAAGGCGTACTATAAGAAGAAGTAGAAGAAGGATAAGTGTTACTGAGCGATAACTCAATCGAATTTCCCTCCCTTTTAAGCAAAAAAGAGAAATGCGTCCTTTAAGTTAAAGGATTTTTGTCAGTAACAATTTAGGTAGGTATAGGTATAATATAACTGGTAATATTAAAAGGACTAATAATTCACCTAACATTTAGGTATTTGTATTTTATTTACAATAAAAAGGAGTATAGACAGATACAGTTAATAAAAATACAGTGATGTATATCTTAGTTTAATGTTTTCTAACTAATTGGAGTAAATACTGTTGTTATTTTCAGTTTTGAACACATTTTTCGATAGGTTAGTAAATCTATTTATTTTCATATCAGTTACGTAAAGGTGTTTTTAATTAGTTTACGTAGCAATAAACATCGACCATTATTTATTGTTCAGCGTATGAAACAATGGGTTTCGCAGTTAATATATCAACCACACACACATCCAACCAAAGCCAAATACTAAATTCAACAAAGCATTCTCTAAAAGAAGAACTATAGGTCTAAATGTTTCTCTAGCAATAAAAAAAGTTTATACAAACGTTTAAATCCTTTACTTTACTTCAAATATAATTTCTTGGAATAATAATTTTTAATATTGTCTTCTCGGTTGCTGTAATGGTTACATCACCCCTTAGGTTGTGTTCTCTTTTACATTTAATTAAGGCATATTTGCGCCGATGGGTATATTTTGGTCCGAGTAACCTAACCCTAGTCTATGCCCTAATAATTCCTAATATAGTTAATGTACTAGATAATGTTTACTGCTGCTCTGAAGATCTGAGTAAGTGAGCAATTGAACTCTTCTCCGAAAATACATACTGCACTGCCAAAGCATCCATCTCACTCTACACTAAATCTATAGCAGCAACTGGTATTGTAGTTTTTAGACCATTACCAAGATAGTGGGGTCTTCGTATCTTTATTTTATCGGATCATCATCATCAATGATGCTACAGTCCTATAGTAGAGCTTCTACATTTCTAAGTCCATTTCGCCAGTCGTATATCCATTCCCAATCATCAGTTTAGTGCACCTCTTTTTATAGTATCTTCTTCTGTGCCAACGTTCCATCTAAGTTTTGACCCAATCTTTGAGATAATGATTAGTCCATCGCAGTCCATCTATATTTATGGAAGTTAGATACTACATCTTTACCACCAGATATTTGTTTGTATTTCTGGTATACCTCATATTTGTACCTTCTTCTCCAACTACTGTTTTCACAGATGCCACCGAATATTTCTCACAGGATCCTTCGTCCCAATATGAGCAGGAGGTTTTTATCTGCCTTGGAGGTGGTCCATGTTTCCGATCCATATGCTAGCACTGGTAGTATAAGGGTTTTGTATATTATTTTTGCTTTAGGGTTTAAGTTATTACTTTTTAAGCCTCTACTCATACCAAAATAGCACTCGTTTGCTAGAATGACCCTTTGTTTGTTTGTCTTTTGTGTTTATTTTAATATCTTTCAATT